TGTTTCTTGACTCCTGAGTTGCATGTTAAACACAGCTACAGCTTAGAAAGCTTGAAGTGTGTTATAACCAAATTCAGGAAAAAAAAAATGGATTTCCTTGGCTGGTGGTGCTGGGACAGCAAAAATTCACAGCAGAGGTATCTCGGGTCTGAGCAGCAAATGGAATTTTAGTAGAAAGCCTCTGGTTTTCCGTAGCATGTGCTGCCTGCGTGCCTGAGTAGAGACAGTTCTAGGTGGAGCTTTGTGGGAGTGATGCTGGGTGCTCTTTCTGGAGGTGTGGTTCCTGGGGCCCCTGTTCCAGGAGAAGGCAGGTCACTGGGAGGAAAAGATATAGATCTCCGTGATACCTCTTCAAGGTGAGAAACTATAGCATGGTTTCTTCTGTGTAGGTTTGGAGGATGCTGAGCTGGGTTTTGATTGTCAGTTCCTTTCCCTTCAGGATTGCAGCTGAAGGAAGATGTACAGGGAACCAAGGACTGAAATAGCTCTTATTTTAGGTGCCTTCACTGGTAGTCAAGAAGAATAAATAACTTTCCAAAGGATGTTTTGGCAGGACAAACAGAATATCTAGAGGTAGAAGTCTCAAGTCATTGTAGAAAGGTCTGTTTGTTAATCTGCAAGAGACACCCAAGTTCTCCAGGGAAGCAAGTGAGTGAACAGTTAGTTACCAGCCGAGATTAGTTCTTAGGTTTTTGTTTGTGATCTGAAAATGGGAACAACATTGTAGCCCCGAAGAGATTGTGCCTTACTCTTACTAGTGAGTGCACAAGTTACGAGAAAGTCTTTCCTGTGCTCTGAACCAGCCTCAGTGAAACAAACTGTGTATCCTGTAAATGGTGCTTTCTTGGAAGTGCTGCCCAAAAGAGGGCACCTTTGATGTTATGAAGATGCCTGATTGCTATTCAGTAGCTAGAGTTGGTGCTGATGTTTTGGTCAGAGATTGCAGGTATCTTTTCTGATTTTAAATGCTATGTTGAGCGGTGTTAGCTGAAACTTCACTGTTTAAGCTGCTCAGAGGTTATTTCCCCCATTTTCTTGTGGAGTTGCAATAACTACAAGACCTGATCTGTTTTCACATTTAGTTTGTCAGAAATTGCCTTCTATTGAATGGAAAAACAGCTCTCTATAAGAAATATTGTCCTTTTTTCTTTTTTTTTTTTCTTGAGTGAAGAATGTGGATTCTTGCACTTCATATCTGATAGTAGCATCTTGGTAGCTGCACAGGTCTGTTTATGTGACCTTTCTGTTGAGAACCTCAAGGTCACCATCACCTGCTGTCCCCTCATTTCACAGTTGTGCAGCTGTGTGAGGTGTATATAAGAGACTTCAGGCATTGGTTTTGAGTGCCATGAACTTTTTCTTCTGGCAGAAGATATCTCCTTTGGTCTCCTTGGAGTTTGTGCTATTGGCTGCAGTGTTGGGTCGTTTCTTTTGTTTCAAGGCAGAAAGGGAATATCAAAAGATTGGGGGTATTTTTTAAGTTGTGAAAAAGAATAAGTAAATTTCGACAACCACAAATAAAAATAATAAATGCCATTCTCAAAAGCTTTAAAATTGTTTCAGGCAATCTGTGTGTCAGTTTACCGTCACTTCACAACATTAGGTTTTACTGTCACTTCACAACATTAGGTTGTAACCAGACAGAACTGTGTGTTTTGTGCTTGAAATGATGTCTTGTGGCTCTTCACTTTACTGATTTGTAGCTGTGACAGTCGTTCCAAATTTGCCTTCATCTTTATTTGTGCTAGCGTCAGGCATTTACAGTTATTAAGCCCATGAAAGCAGTATTTAGTAGATGACCATGGTATTGGTTTTGTTGGGTTTGGACTTACAGTTTTCCTAGCTGTTGCAAAAAGCTACTGCTATGAGAAGACTACCTCCATGTTAAAATTCCTGCCAAATGCAACAAATACAGGGAAATGAATGTTTGTTCCAAGTGAAACACGTTCTTACTATAACTTCCAGCCTTGACTGGAACATAGGACCATAACCACTGAAGTGGCCTAAGGGGACTGTGGATGCTCTTGCCAATAATAAGCCTGAAGTTATTTTACAATGCTCTGGACAAGTATAGATGTCTTTGTATTAACTAATCCTGTTACTAGGAGGAAAATTGATTTAATATTTTGGGGTACAGTGCTGCTGAGGATCACTGAAGTGACGGTCAAATGTAAAGGGGTAACTGGGACTTGTTAATATTTTTGGTGGTGGGATTTTTATTTACTTTTTTTTTTCTTTAAGATGTTCCTGAGTTTGAATGTGAACTGTATTGTGTTTGCATTAGCTTGCTAACTGTGTTGCTCTTGAGTTAATTTCCAGTCAGGTGGAGTCTGCTGGAAAGTCTTCCCATTCAAGTGACTGAAGGATGAGGATTCTCTCCAGGCAGATGCTCTCCTGGCAAATGCTGACTGAAACTCAAGACCAGCAGTGCAAAAAAACCCCAAACACAACCCTATAATCGAGTTGACTGGTAGTGACGCTTCTGGTATGCAATGTGATTCAGAGAAGTAGAAGTTATGCTTCTGACAGTTTGGCTTAAAAAACAAGTGTAAGGAGTAGTGACAAAATACCCAAATACACAAAACCAAAACACTTGATGTATCTAAATCTCTAAAGGAATTAAATGATAAATTTATATGTGCCTTCTCAGAGTAGAGCTAGCAATGACATTTTTAAGCAAGCTTAGAAAAGTCTGAAACCCCCAGTAGCAACACTTTTGTTCTCCTGAATGTAGACCCAGAGCAGGGAGAAATGCTATTGCTATCAAAATGTGTGAAATCGTTGGCTTTCTCTCCTCCCCTAGAATCTGCATAAGTATGGGATGTGAACAAGGAAAAAAAATGCTGATTTTCCGACTGATGATAAATTGTATGTCATGGATCAATGTTTAAGTAAGATGACATGAAGAGAAAATTAGAATTCTGGTATGTTTTCTATGATGTTGGGCATTCATTAAATCTAAAGATCCATCTGTACCTTAATATAATTATAGTGAAGATTTCAGTGGAGGAGGAGAAAGCTGAGCTGTCAGATGGAGTAACAGTATTTTTCTGGATATGCAACTGTCTCGTGCATCTGCCCCATCTAGTAAAGGCTGCTTGAGAAAGGAGGGAATCATCTAGATGATACTCTTGCAGTCTGTTTGTGTGTTACGTAAATGCCAATATGTTGACATTACAGAATTTTATACCAAGTTTTGTGTTGCCTTGCAATATCCTCTTGTGCTTTCAGATGTGGAGGATGAAAAGCTGTTTCTAAGCATGTGGTTATAGCTTGATCTTTTTTTTTAATTATTATTTAAAAAAAAAAAAGCCCTCATGGAGCTTGCGGCTTTTCCTGTTGTATTGATTTAAACTCAGACAGAAGCAGTGTTTTGGGCTGTATTACACAGCAATGTTTTGAGAGCTTGCAGACTAACCCAGGAGTAAAAAAGACTCATTCTCTGATGCAGTCTTGTTTTTACACAAGGAAAGATCATAAGTGTAGGAGAATTCCTTGCAGAACAAGGACACAGTATACCCCTAGAAAGTTTGGACAATCCAGCTTGGACCTTACACAATGCTCTGTTCTTAGAGTCGCCTTGAAGCTTAAAGAGGTAACAAAGTTGTATCTGCAAGAGCTTTGCAAAAGATACGTCAGGATGTTCTAACTGCAGCAAGGGCATCTAACACCCACAAGGATTGATAATGATAATCAAAGACTAAGCTTATTGTAGCTTGTGCTTGGTGCGTGAACATAAAGCGTATTGTATTAACAGTGTATATATTGGGCTAATTGGAGCAATAAAGTTGGAACGGCATGTAACCGCATTGGTGTGATTGTCGTTACCCGGCGGCTCTCCAAAAAGGGACCTTCTTCACATAAGTCTGTGCAGATCTGTGACTCTTCAGATACTGGAGCACTTGAGAGAAAGTTTAATGCAGCCCTCCAAAAATGTAGAGGTGCTCTTATTTACAATCTGTCATGTTTCTATGCCATTTCACCTTTTCTTTTACCTGAAAACCCGGGGTTTTCCAGAGCCTAGCCCTTAGGGGGTTTGGGAGGAGGGGATGGAGACATCCTTGGCGGAATGGTTTCCACGTGCAGGGAAGACTGCAGGGAAGACGAGACTGTATGGTGGCATCTGACTGGTTCTCCTTAGGGTGATTTTCATTTGAAAGCTTTAGGGAAAATACTCATTGTTTGTTAACTGTTCAGTTGTTTGTAGTTATAGCTGATGGGGTCAGAGAAGGGTGGTAGGAGCTGACTGACAGGATGGACTGACTTTGCTGTTGGTTTGAAAGGGAAACATAAAACAAGCAAAATAAAGCAGAAGAGTATTTTTTTCCCCTCCTTTTTAAAATTTTCATTTCCCATTGGATAATGAAAACCATGCATTTAATGCTTTTGGATGGACCCATGACATCCTCAGATGTCTGAGTGACCTTGGTTTTCATGGAGACCGCTGCCCTCTGAGCGAGGGGGGTGGTGTTGGTATAGGCAGGTGAACTTGGTATGAATCAGACTTCAGTTCCCATTGCAGGTTTTCTCTAAACCATTTCTTCACCTGTAAGTGTGTGCCTAAATGTTCAGAAAGTGAAAATGTATAGAGAGAGACGATGGTGATGAATTTTACAAGTTGAAGAACTGCTTAAAGAAGTTACTGTTAAAGTGATTCCAGAGTGTGTGTGTTGGGATGAGTCTCTTTAATGTCCAAAATATCTTTTTGTAGTCAAATCATGAACTGCTTTGCAGTTTACATCTTGTATGCACATAGTGTTTCAACGTGGCTGTCTAGTTAAGTTTTTTCTCTTTACTTTAGGAATTGTTTTGTCATAATACGCAGAGTAAAGCTGATGTGCACTTAGCTCTTATGTTTCTTGGCAGCTATTCCATGGAGTAAGAAACTATATAAATATTACATTATCTTATCAGTGTGTTCTAGTTATTTCTTCTACAGAAGCATGGGAAAGCGGTAGTATCTCTCAATTTCTAACAGCGTTGATGTTTTTCTCCAACAGGAACGGTTCTTATCAGAAGCAGTAATGGCCAACTAATGCTAGTATCTCAACAAGCAATAGGACAAGCTCAGAACAAACCACACAATAACACAAATGTGAGGCCGTCTCTACCAACCAGCACACCTGCAATCAGAATATGTGCTGTACAGGTAACTGCTCTCATAGCTTTTATTTGAGGTAGCTGTATGTTATGTAGTTATAACAAGGTTTGCAAGTAATGGAGGGTTAAATAAGCATTTGAATGGTTTCTGAACTGTATGATGGTGTTTGGTTTTGCACATAGACATCACTGTGCTTTGCTTTTTCAGTTTGAAAAAACTGCTAGCCCTTACAAATGCTATTGTTCAAATTAAGGATTTCCTCTCTGATGATAGTGGTATAAAGGATTTTAAGAAAAAAACAACAAACAACCCAAACCCAGAAAACCTACCTAAATGGTTACTGCTAGTAACTGCAACTTTGTGACCCTCTGGTGGAACACTTCTGTGAAGCTGAGGACCTTTCCCAAGTGCGCAGGGTGTTTCTACTTCCCTGAGCTCTCCTGGCTTTTTACTTCCATCTCTTGTAATGTGGTCAGTGTGCAAGAGTAAGAATGCGTATAAAAAAATGTAGCTATCTCCATATTTCTTGCCAACATGCTCATCCTTTTAACCATTTTATTCTGAGTGTTGTGTCTGAGTGTCTCTGAATCTGCTCTTGAGAGTTAAACTGGTGGACAAATAGCTTTGTGGAACAATGTTTAAATTGTATAGGCTGTGTAAATGATGCATGTATTGTTACTGTAGGAGTTGGTATCTTGGTGTATATGGGATAAGAGCAGGTACTAACTTCAGGGTCAGTTTTGTCAGTGACTTATCTGACCACTAATCTCTGCACCTGTGTGGTTTGTTTGTGGTTGTGTTTTTTTTTAAGAATTCTGGCACCCAGTTACTAAAGAAAGTGGCAGCTACTCCTGTGAAACCATTATCTCAGACAACAAATGCTGTGGCTTCTGCTGTTCAGCCACCTGTTGTAATAGAGGTAGGTGGCAAGCTTTATATTGTGGTGGAATAAGAATAAATGACAGAACTGACAAAAATGGAATGTGTTTCTGTTATTTCTGACTCTAATCTGTTTTTCACTGAGTTGGTAACTTTCGTCCTCATGATAAGTTCTATCCTGAATGTCTTTTTCTAAATGCATAATTAATTATGCTTCTGCCAGTGTGTGTCAGGTCATCTTCTCTCGCTACAGTAGAAAGCGCATGAACAATGAATAAAATAGTTTAGAGAGCAATTTCCAGTGCTTTTGTACCCTATGACACAGCTCCTTCAAGCTCTAGCTGATGCTTTTCTGGGAGATGGAGGCTTAGGGGGCCAGTTAGCTCAGTCGATTAGAGCGTGGTGCTGATAACACCAAGGTCACAGGTTCGATCTCAGTTCGGTCCTCATGTGTTGCCTGATCTACTTGAGAGGCGTCCCTGCCCGTGACAGGGAGGTTGGATTAAATGATCTCTAAGGTCCCTTCCAGCCTAGGCCATTCTATGATTCCTAATGTGCTCTCCTGTTTGGGTTCCATGATTTCCTGAGGGGGAATAAAAAAGCATACCTGGAATGTTGTTGAGTGGAAAAGGAGCTCTGCACTAATCAAGCTATTTTTCAGGTCTACGTTTTTTTTTTTTTCCTTTCATTAGAAGCTTAAGTCAGGTAATAGCTGAAGACCTCGAATTGAATTTGGTTCCACAGAAATGACTGTAAATAGACAGTGGTTGGAAATGCCTCATCATTTTTAGATAGTGGGTTTTTTTGTCTTATTTCCTAGGTCTTAATTCTCTTTTTTCATAGAAAAAATGTTGTAGGACTATTCTTAAGAGGCTATGGCTACCTGTAGACTATAAGACTTCTCCTGGATGCAGTTCTTTGTTTGTTCTTGTGGACCAGAGGTCTAGATGAGCATGTGGTGAAAACTGCTTCTTTTTGCAGCTAAAATACTCTGTTCTCATAACCTGGAGGAGAAATCGGGAAGAAGACTGGCTTGCACATATCTTTTATGAGCAAGAGGTTGAAGGATACTGGTCTGTAGCGTTGGACTAAGAACTCAGTAAATGAGCAGGATCAGTCATTCAAAAATAAAAAGAAAAAGAAAATGCTGGATATATGTTCTTGACCTTGAGGTTGTTTGAAGGACTGGGGGATATATTTGTTTACAGTGGTAACTAACAGTCTGACTTAAAAATTTGTCCTCCTGCTGTTCTGTATCAGCAACTGAAAACTACTCACACCTCTGATCTTTTTTCTGTTCCTTCTTGCTATAGGTGGATAATGTTGAGGCTAAATAGGAAAACCCAGAGGCCTTTCTTAATACGTTACCTATTTTGCTTACAATGGAAAGAACACAGGCTTTGTGTTTAAGAACGGTAATGGATACAGTCCTTATGCACCTCTATTTTGGAATACTAGCTTGCAAACCATGTGCTTGTGATATCTGCACAGAAATCTTTAAGATATAAAAGCAATGATCATCTACTATAGTACCCCTGCACTGGGGAAAAGGAGGTGAAGGTACCAATTTCTTTCATTTGATGGATGAAGCTGCCTGTGCATAAGCACTGAGATTCATCATGCTATTCTTTTCCTTTTTTAGCTTACATCTGGCTCTGACTTGGTTTTTCTGTACTTTCTTAGTTCAGTTTAGATATAATCAATTTAACTTGCGGTCTTCTGAGATACTTAAAGATGTAGACATGGAGTGTTTTTTGTAGCCATATTTTTTTTCTGGATTTAAAAAGCAGGAATAAGGATTCTAGGAGAAATTAATGGTGCTGTTTTGTTTGGAGTGGCTTCCTTCAAGGCCTTCTGTTCTGCAGAGAATTGCAAAGCCCTCCGTACAACCTTCTTGTACAATAAAGAGTAAACAGGTGCAGCATGGATACGTCCTGCTGTCACAGGGCCACTTCACTGCGCACCCTGGGCTGGACAAGAGAAGATGCTGACAAGGGGGTCTGTGCATAAGGTTGCAGGAACCGATGGGGAAAAGGAAGGGCCCTTGGGTCTCATGTCCTTGGCAGTCCTAAAAGAACTACTTCCTGATGTTAGTCCTGACAGTCTGTTGAAGTCACAGGAGAAGTGTTGCTGTGGACACGTGACATCATCACAACAAGTGGGAGACAGTGGAGAGGAAATAATCCTTGGCTTGGTTGTGTATCTCCTGTGCAAAGTACGACTTGGAACACTACTGACTGCAAAACTCTCACTAGTTACTGACTCCAGAATTATTCTCATCTACAAAAATATTTCCGTTTTTTGACATTCCTGAATCTTTAAGCTCTGAAGTTAGACAAAATACCTGCACATTTTTATTTTTCACCTTCTTCCCAGCTGGGGTAATGAAGCTGCAAAGTATCTAATTAGCATCATGCTGGGGCACTTTCATTTTGATGCAAAGCACTTCTTCCGTTGAAATTACTTCAAAATATGCAGGATTAATGCCATTTTTTTGGTGACTGTTTCGCTCTGTTTTTCAAAGTGCGAATGAGAATTGTCAGTAGTGAGAAAGGTTGAGGGCAGATGACAGTAGTTAATTCCCATATATTCATCTTCCTGGGAAAAGGGTCCAGCAGACCTCCTGTTGTTCCCTCCCTCAGCTGATAAAATGCTGTTCTGGTCCTGATGTGTAAACATGCTGGAATTTGCAAGAGATCGGCTCCCGTGAACCTCATATTTTCAACTTTTAAAAGCCCAAGGCATTGCAGCTTGACAGATCTGTTCTCCGTCCCCTTCCGTTTTCCTCTCGTCCATCTGTTTGTGGGATTCTCGTGCCCAGTTTGCCTCCCTTGTGGTCTTAAAGCTGTTGAGCCTCATCTGTGGAAGAGGCGGTGGTGGTGGCAAAGATCCTGCAGAGAACTATTAAAGTGTTACCAACAGTGGGAGCATAAGCTGGAAACCTTTCTAGTAGCTGCCTGCTTCTTTCATGTCAAGCTGGCAGCAGCTTGGGGAGTGGGGGGGCACAAGCCACTCATGAAAAAAATAATTTAAAAATAAATGACACAGGTGATAGTGTTTTGCTTTAGCTTTAAATGTTTGCTCATTAATTTTCCCTAGCCTGAAAGACTTAAAAGCCCTTTGATATTCTAGATGTTGTCTGTCCAACTCTGATTAGTTTTTGTTTTATCCATGGTAGGGTAAGTTAGGCTCTTGTGTTACTGTCTTACCATTAATACAATTAGCAAGTAGTAATTTGTCATGGTTGGACTAAACTGGGATTTTTAAATGTGTAAAGAGTCAGTGAAAGCAATTGTGTTGTGCAGAGCTGAACCTGGAGTTTGTACTACAAAACCACTTTCCCTTTCTCTTGAGAGGTTTGGAGAAAAATGGCAAATAACTTCACATTTCAGATTCTAACCTGAAACTCTTGGTTTTCTGTAACCTGGAGGTTCAGTCTGTATTTTTAATTTTCAAGCTGAGAAATCAAATGTAGTAGATTTTGTGGAGGCAAAGTCTTTAACTTGTATTATGTTCTATTGTATCAAAAAGCAGTGTTTAGTTTTTTGGGGGTGAGTGGGTTGTCTTCCACTCCTGTAAAATTTGAAGTAGAAATACTTCAGTTTAGTAGATTTTCATCTAGAAACTACTATTTAGCCTGGTTTGCAAAAGAGGCAATTGTGTTCTTTTTTTTTTTTTTTTCCTAAAATTCACTACTCCCCTATTGCTGGAGCTTCTGAATCTGTTCTGAATCTGGTAAATTCTAATGAGGTTTTAAAAATAACTGAATTTTGTGAGGGTTTGTGTCTGGGTGGAGGAGAGAGAAACTAAAATTGCTGCCCACAAGGTAAAAATCAGGAGGAACTGGTTAGGCGCATTTCCCGAGCTGGCTGCTTCTGCTGGCATGTGCATCCTTCCAAAGTGGACACGACATCTTTTGCTTACTGCACATGTGATTAAAAAAAGGAAGGGATATTGCAATTAGAAGAGGACCTACAGGGGAAGAAAGGAAGATAAATGATCACTTAAGGTCATACTTATCTTCAGAGTAATATCGTCTAGCTTAGCGTTGTCCAAAATTCATTACTCCTAGACTAGGAGCCTGGCAAAGTTAATATACTGGTTTCTCCAATACAACCTTTCTCTTTTCACTTGAAGTTGCAGGCTGTGCTTCCATCTGGATGAGCCTTTTGTGTTTTCTTTTCCCCGCCCTTGATTTAAAAGCATAATTATGACTATGGGGGTTCTGCCACCTACTGTATTAAATAGAGCCTCTCAAAGCAAATTGATCCAAACTTTAAAAACAAAGGTAAAAATTATTTATGTTTTAAATAATGGTGTGGAGGGATGGTGCTAATTCATACACTAGCAGAATACAGTATGTTTGTCACGTTAGTCTTTGGTTAAGAAGTGTTAATTTTTCAGGCAGCAGCTGCAACAGCTAGTGTTACTACAGTTCCTGCTGTAAAGCCTTCGAGTACTGGAACACCTGTAAAACTTCCAGTTACAGGACCACCTGCACAAGTGATCTCCCAAAAGGCAGTCTCTGTGAAAGCTGAGGGCACAACAGTAGCACAGACCAACGCTTCTACAGTAAGGAAAAAAAAAAGTTTTTAATTAAAAATTAACATTCTATATTCAGCAGAGGTTGGAGAGCCAATGCAACATCTAACAGTCTTCTTTTTTTTTTTTCCATGCTAGGAGATGCTAGAGAATGTGAAGAAATGCAAGAACTTTCTTGCTACACTAATAAAACTGGCATCTAGTGGACCTCAAGCCCTTGAGATGGGGCAGAACGTGAAGAATCTGGTGCAAAACCTTTTGGTAAGACTGTTTTTAAAACAAAGTCTGCATTATTTGTGTATTGACTTTGACATTGATGATACTTGATTTTTTTATTTATTTATTTTATTTTTAAACAGCTGAGGAGTTGGATTTGTGGCTGAGTACATCTGACCCTCTTAAATTGTAACTCCTGTTTTAAGTGAATCCTGTGCTTATGTTTTCCTCCCCTCATGTTCCTGTTTCATTTTATGCACACAGGTAACTGACAGCAGGATTGGCTGATGGTGTCAACACAGCTTCTGAATCTGAGCTCTTTTTTTTTCATGTTCCTGTAGTTTTGGGTCCTCAGTGGCAAGAGTATGACTGTGGAGGTTGTAGTGCAGTGCTAAGTCCTTACTACTGCTTTGTTCCAAGATGGAACTGACTTACAGGTTGATAGTGAAGGCCCAGTGGAACAAGCTTGACGTTCTCTATGGTTTTATACAACAGAGTGGAGAAAATAATGTGGTGGCTGCCAACCTGTCTCTCTTCTTGCAGGTGGCTTCCATATGCTGCTTTGTGTTGTACCCCAGCACAGCTGGGTTTTCTTGGTAACGATTTCTCCTGTCACTTCTTGTCTTGGCATTTGACCACTGCTGCTGTGTAGCTGTTCCACTGTAGCAGAAGGCTGTGGACTTGTGGAGGGGGATGGCTTGCTAGTGGTACCAAAGGATTTTTCAGTCTAGAAAAGTGTGGTGTAGCCAGTGGTGTATAATTGCAGAGAGCAGATTGCTTGAAGATGCAGCCTTGCGAAAATTAGTTTCCTCTACCTCTGTGTTCCTGC